CTCTCGCACACGTTCTAACAAGTCCACGTCACACTCGCTTCCCGTTAGATCCGTTTGGACCTCTCCTGCAACTCCCTTCCTTCTCCCTCCTCCTCCTCCTCCTCCTCCTCCTTCTCCTCCCCCTGCTCCTGCCTGTTCCCTCATCCACATCATCCTTCTCCTTCACCATCCATCTCCTTCTCCTTCTCCTCCTCTCCTCCTCCTCCTCCTCTCCTCCTCCTCCTCCTCCTCCTCCTCCTCCTCCTCCTCTTCATCCCGAACGGCATCTCGGAGCCCAGAGTTGCGAGGATGTCTCCAGCGTAACGGGTTGGACCACCTCGCGCGCGGCATCTCGAACCCCAGAATTGCAACGATGTCTCGGGCGAAACGTGCTGCGAGGAAGTCTCAGGCGAAACGGGCCTGACCACCTCGAGCGCGGCGTCTCAGAGCTCGCTCCGAGTTGCGGGGGCCTCCTGGGGCCTCCTCGGGCCTCCTGGGGACCTCCTGGGGCTTCCTCCTGGGCATCCTGTGGCCTCCTGGACTCCACCTGGGGCTTCCTGAAGCCTCTTGGGGCTCCCAGGAGGGGTTATCTAACATGTGGCCGTTTGGGCCCCTCAAAATGAGGGGGGTCCACAAGAGCAGGAAAAATCAACGAATCGGCACCGGATGCGTATTGACTTGACACGTTCTGATAGGGGGCCTCCTGGGGCCTCCTGGGAGCCTCCTGGGAATCTCCTGGGGAGCCCTGGGGCCTGTCCTGGGCGTCCTGCGGCCTCCTGGAGCTCTCTGGGGCCTCCTGGGGCTCCCAGGGTCCCAGGGAGGATATGTAACATGTGGTCTTCGGGGCCCCCAGGCTGGACCACCTCTCGCGCTGCATCTGGGAGCTCAGAGTTGCGAGAATGTCTTGTGCGAAACGGGCCGGACCACCTCGCGCACGGCATCTCAGAGCTCAGAGTTGCGAGGATGTCTCAGGCGAGACGGGCCGGACCACCTCGCGCAGGGCATCTCAGAGCTCAGAGTTGCAAGAATGTCTCAGGCGAAACGGGCTGGACCACGTCGCGCGCGGCATCTCCGAGGTCAGAGTTGCGAGGATGTCTCAGGCGAAATGGGCTGGACCACCTCTTGCGCGGCAGCTCAGAGCTCAGAGTTCCGAGAATGTCTCAAGTGAAACGGGCCGGACCACCTCTTGGGCGGCAGCTCGGGGCTCAGAGTTTGGAGGATGTCTCGAGCGAAACGGGCCAGACCACCTCTCGCGCGGCATCAGAGAGCGCAGAGTTTAAAGGATGTCTCAAGCAAAACAGGCCGGACCACCTCGCGCACGGCATATCAGGGCTCAGAGTTTGGAGGATGTCTCAAGCGAAACGGGCCAGACCACCTCTCGCGCGGCATCAGAGAGCGCAGAGTTGCGAGGATGTCCCAAGCAGAACGGGCCGGATCACCTCGCGCACGGCATATCAGGACTCAGAGTTTGGAGGATGTCTCAAGCGAAACGGGCCCGACCACCTCTTGCGCGGCATCTCGGAGCCCAGAGTTTCAAGGATGTCTCAAGCGAAATGGGCTGCACCACCTCTTGCGCGGCATCTCAGAACTCAGACGTGCGAGAATGTCTTACGCGAAACGCACCGGATCACCTCTTGGGCGGCAGCTCGGGGCTCAGAATTTGAAGGATGTCTCAGGCGATACGGGCCAGACCACCTCTCGCGCGGCATCTGGGAGCTCAGAGTTTGGAGGATGTCTCAGGCGAAACAGGCCGGACCACCTCTCGCGCGGCATCTGGGAGCTCAGAGTTTCGAGGATGTCTCAGGCGAAACGGGCCGGACCACCTCTTGCGCGGCATCTGGGAACTCGGAATTGCGAGGATGTCTCAGGCGAAACGGCCAATCCCGGCCAACTCAGAAACGAGAGTTGTGAGGATGTCTCAAGCGAAACGGCCCGGACCATCAAATTTTTGTGACTCTGCTCCCCGGCCGGAGTTAGCTTCTATCATAACAGCACCGCGTTCAGCAAGCTGTTTGGGGAAATAGTATTATGATTCGTGTCATTAATCTTCCTCTTCCTCATCTTGTTCGTCTTTCTCCTCCTATCACTAATTCTCCTCCTCCTCCTTCTTCTTAGCCGTTCTGGCCCAGGTCTCCTGGGCTTAAAGGGGCCGTCTTCAGAGCGGCAGTCGTTCGTTCGGGTCATCCAGCTCGGTGTTTCAGTGCGAGGGATCTCAACCCTCGCAACTTTCAGTGGCATCCCGCCTCATCGGCGCCCCATGGGCCGCGACGATGAGGCGGTGCTCCCAGGACACGCGAGCCCAAGTTGGGCCGGGCTGCCCAGCGTGCGGGCGTCATCAGAGATGGGCGTGCCGCGTCCGCTGCGCCTGTGGCAAGTCCGACGCGCAGGCTATCGTCCAGCGCGCCAAGGTGGCGGCCAAGGCGGGTGCCCCATCCAGCCTCGTGGCGTGTGGGCGCGTGCTCCTCCTGCGGGACTCGCTGGCAGCTCGTCCAAGCTCGAGCAGCAGGTCGCCAACCTTGCCATGGATCTCGAGCAGCTCACCAAGGGCACCGCAGGTAGGGGCAGTGACGGTGCCGCTCGTGGCGGGACAGCCTCTGCTCGCGATTCCGACGCTGTTGATGATGAGGGACCAGCTGATGGTGAAGTGGTTGGAATCCGTGCCAAAGCCGACGCTCTTGAGGAGAGATGCCCATCCAGCCAGTGAAGATTGTGATCGACACCCACACGGTCCACCGAGAGAACAAGACTCAAGCGAGCCCAGCGAGACCGTGCGCGAGATCTCAAACTGACACAGAACAACGATGAGCATGGCGCCGATGCAGCGGAGCCAGGGGACCTTCATCACGATGAGCTAGCCCACCTCCTGGAGGGCACCTGCCCGATGAAGCAGAAGGATGCGGCCAGTGATGCACACTGGCTCCAGGCTCTGGCAGAGACCCGAGGGCGACCAGTTCAGGAACCTGTTGATGATGCGGCTGATTCATGGGCGTATCGACTGGACCCCGAAGGAGCTTGCAGATTGGCCTACCATTCTGGTGAGTGGACAGTTGCGGCAGAGCAGTCACTGTGCATCTTGGCGTGCACCAAGCCAAAGAGCACAGTGAGGAGGGGATGCAACCCCAAGTTCACGATGCAGAAGGTCAGCATCCAAGAGAAGTCCGACCCATTCTTGGACGCGGCATTAAGAGAGAAGGCCAACTTGTGGGAAGCGCTGGCTGCCAGGATGCGAGAGCTGGCGATCCCCAAGGCCAGGCATTCGAAGAACGTCAACTTGAAGACAGTCGACGGCGTGATAAGATCCCCGAGAGATCGCATTGCGTGCCCAGGGGGGCAGCAACGACACGGACGCAGACAAGCAAGAGGACGAGAGGGTGCTACTCAACTTATCACACGACTTGGATGGCAAGCCGTGCCCGACGTTGCGAAGCCCAGAGACAGCCACGCAGTCTAAGGAGCGCAACAAAAAGAAGGCCGAGCAGGGCGAAACAAAGACGGCAGCCCCAGCGATGCGATCGAATGTGGACGAAGAACACGACCCTTTCGCACAACCGGATGCGGAAGCAGACGAGCCAGACCTCCTCCAACAGCAGACCGAGGAGATGACCGACGTGCTTCAGCGACATACGGGGAGTACGGCGCCCACGGAAACAGCGAGTCCAGCTACACCGTCAACGGCGTCAGCCTCAGTGCAGGATCAGCTACCGCACTGGAAGGGGTCTAACATAAGCAAGATTCAGGCCTGACGCCACGCCGAGTCGCCACGACCCCCGTCAGAACGCCACCCAGGATGGGACCCAGGAACCTGGCCAGGACCCGCGGCAGGACCCCAGCGGTGGTCTGAGCGCGGCTGAGAGGGGAGGCGGACCTGCCCCTCGGGCCAGTGCCGCCGCTTGCACAGGAATGCCGCTCGAGGACAAGCAGAGATTCCACTCTGGCTCCCAGCGAGGGGCCAACCAGTCTCCCCAGCGCGGCGAGGGGTTCGACCACGGCGGACATGTGTGGCGTGGGCCAGCTGAGCCCCCCACGGCGAGGACAGAGCTGGATGAGCCCCTCGCGTCCGCCTCCTCCTGCGACCAGAAGACCAACGCGGCGGAGCACAGTGCTGTGCCAGGAGGGCACAAGCGAACCGCTGAACGAGCTGCCGGGCCAGGCCGAACTGTTCGCCGAGATCGACCAGAGGTATGCTCACCAGGCTACCTCGTTTGTCGAGTACACTGAGTGTCAGAGAGGGCCCAACCGGTCTCCCCAGCGCGGCGAGGGGTTAGGCCACGGCGGACTTGTGAGGCTTGTGCCAGGTGGGCCCCTCACGGCGAGGAGAATGCTAGGTCAGCCCCTCGCGTCTGCCATCCACAGCGACCATGAGACTAATGAGACGGAGCCGAGGACTGTGCCAGGTGGACCTCTCAGCTACATCAGTGAGCTGCAGAACGAGATGTCGGGGCAGAACGAGCCCTTCGCCGAGATCGACCAGAGGGACGCTCGCCAGGCCACCTTGCCTGTCGAGTATATGCAGAGAACCCGCTCTGAGCCTCGGAGAGAGGCCAACCAGTCTCCCCAGCGCGGCGAGGGGTCAGGCCACGGCGGACAGGTGAGGTTCGTGCCAGGTGGGCCCCTCACGGCGACGACTGCGCTAGGCGAGCCCCTCGCGCCCGCCACCCACACGGACCAGAAGACCAACGAGACGGAGCAGAGGACTGTGCCAGGTGGGCCCCCCAGCTACACCAGCGAGCAGCAGAACGCGGCGTCGGAGCAGGCCGAACTCACCGCCGAGATCCACCAAGGGGCCGCTCGCCATGCCACCCCGGCGTGGCGCGACACTCGTGCCAAGGTCCGATCGTGAGCCAAGAAGGCGCCAGACAACTCGATGAAAGGAGCACATCGATATGTGAGCCCAGAAGAACAGATCATCACATGCAGCGGCCGCCTGGACCCCGACACCACGAAGCGGGGGATGGACCCGCAGCGCGGCATCCAACTTCGACGGCGACAATGGGAGCGACGTTGGACAGCGCACAAGGAGCTCGCCAAGGAGGAGCTCGCAAAGGCCATGAGCGACCTGAAAGCCAAGGCCGAAAACGACCTCGTCGAGCGGCCCTACCTCACGATGGAGAGCATGGGGATGGCGTTGAGCAGCTTCCAGGCAGGCACGGGGCTCGGCGCTGACCAGCGGGCCCCCGACCAGCTCCGAGCACTCCGTCCGATGTGCAAGGAGTCCTCATACTGAACATGTGCGAGCGGCAGCTGTCCTGGCCGCATCAGATCACGCACATGTGGTACGCGTTGCCCCGGAAAGGAGAAAAGCAGATAGCGGGAAAAGAGCGGCCTACAGCCTACAGGGCTGCTGCCGATGACCATGCGAAGTCGGAGAAAATGACGAAAAAAATTACCCTGGCGACGTACCCAACCCCTGCGCAAAAGCGGGGCGCAAATAGTTTAGGATACTTTATAAGGGGGCGATGACGGAGCGAGGGTTACATATGTCTGCAGACGGAATTCGGGAGACTCGCAGGACACTGGCTACAGGAAAAGGGCTTGATAAAGCTGATGATTTACAATTCCTGAGCACTCCTAGCCACTTCGAAAACGGGGATCACAGCAGGCCTCGAAAGTGGCGACAGGTTCACAGATCGCAGCCCCGCAGGGACGGCGAGGTCTCATTTGAATCTGCCCGTGGCCCTCACTGTGCTGGGCCCCCAGCAGGCCTCGAAAATGGCGGCAGTTTCGCAGATCGCAGCCCCCCAGGGATGGCGAGGTCTAATTTGAATCCGCGCGTGGCCCTCACTGTGCTGGGCCCCCCAGCAGGCCTCGAAAGTGGCGACAGTTTCACAGATCGCAGCCCCCCAGGGAGGGCGAGGTCTAATTTGGATCTGCCGCGATTACCCTCTATGCTGAGCCCCCCAGCAGGCCTCGAAAGTGGCGACAGTTTCACAGATCGCAGCCCCCCAGGAATGGCGAGGTCTAATTTGGATCTGCCGCGATTACCCTCTATGCTGGACCCCCCAGCAGGCCTCGAAACTGGCGACAGTTTCACAGCCCCCCGCAGGCAAGACAGAAAGAGGCAGGAAAGAGGCGGGAGGCGGGAGGAGGAAGGACGCGACCACACTGCTCTATTCAAAACGAATACCCAACCAAGGAGGGTTGGGAACAACTAACGGAATGGTGTGGCCGAAAAGCGGGGTTATGGGATGCTGCGGTGAGAAAGAGTTCGGCGTTGCAGTCAGCGTTGCTCACGCTGGTCCCGGACGAAACCCGAGCCAATCTAGACGAAGCTAGCCAAGCTACTTTCTTCCAGGACTTAGAGAAGTTCTAGGTTCCCGTGGGTTCCGGGATATTAGCCGTACGAGCCTCAGAACTAGAATAGCCTCCAGTCGAGCTGTACATGCGCATTGTGTCATACCTGTGCCCTCGGCTCGTCAAGGCCAATGAGATCTTCAGTGACTTGATTATTCCACATAACGGCATGGCCCCTGGCCGCGACAAGGCCAATCATGGAGCTCGAGCCCTACTCACCACGTATTAGAGGAAGTACACCTTGATGTGCCGATAGCGAGGTTGAGGCAGTTCGTCGATGGCATTACGGCGAGAGTCGAGGGGCCCGACGACGCGGTAGGAAAAGCGGTGTCGAGAGCAGCGAGCGTTCTGGTTGGAGGCTGTCTCAAGGCGAGGCTCAAGATCCCCAGCAAGTCCACCATCCTGGCCCAGAACCCCCAGGACGCCCTAGAGGTTGAGAGGAGGTCCCCGGCAGAGCTCAACATAACCATCAAGAAAGGGAAGGAGATGAAGGACCTGGGGACCAGCAACACCATGGGGCAACGCAGATCCAGGAAAACGGCTTCGAAGCGGTGTAGGCTGGGCAAAATTCGGGCCACCAGGGCTGGTTTGTTCGCCTGTTTGGGGCGGGCGTGTAGAAAGAAAAGTAAGTTACTATTAAACGCGAATGTCCGGGCTTAGATGTCCTATGACAGTCCCATGTTTGCCCCCCCCCCCTCCCCCGACCCAAGTCCGAAAGCGAAGAGCCATAGCCGCCGACCTTGCTGGCTTCGGGAAGAAAGGCCGATGCACGGCCACGGTCATGCTCCTGACGTAGGAGGAGGGGGGCCCGTGGGCCGCGCGCGTGAAGCGACAGGCCAAAGAGTGGCTGCACTTTGGGGCCCACAGCCCCTCCCTCAGGCAGCAGGTTCGGCGGGGGTGGCCGGCCACCAAGTGTGTACTAGCCCGTGTAAAGCCCCGTTCAAGATGGCGAGCAGTGACAGGGCCCATGGGGACCATGCTGCTCACCCTTCGGTCCCTGGGATGGGTCGGGGTCGAACCAGATGTTTGGGAGGACCCCGACGGTGGCGAATGGCGTATCAACCCCGATCTGTCCGATGATGCCGAAGAAATTTGTAGTGCTGTGGCCCCGTCTGTCATGCAGCAGCTGTGGAAACAGGCAGCCCAGCGCAGTGAAGGAGCTTGCCTGCAGGATGGGGGGTACCTCACCACGTTGCGTTTGAATGCCAAGCGCATGCATAAGAAAGGCATGTTTCAGGAAGCGGGAGCCCTGGAGGGGATAGCATGTGCAACCATTTGGAATGGCGATCGCCAGCGGAGAGCTGGATATCAGTCCGAAGGCCGCTGTACCAAATGTGACCTCAGAGCACCTGATACCACCCGCCACCGTACCTCTGAATGCCCTTGTCTCACCCATATGGAGCACCCCTGGATCTCCAGGACAGCGCACTTGTGCGAGCGAGCGATTCGCGACGTCGATCGAGGAGTTAATGCGTCCTTGTGGCTGCGTGGGATCGCCCCCCATGGTGGAATCCAGTGTCTACCCCACCAGAAAGGGGGGATGTGGATGCCTGGCGTGCTAAAGCCGTCGACACCCCGCCCCCTACCATCGGCCCCAGCGGAGAGGTGACGCCTGGCCAGAGGCTTGAGGCGAGGGCTAGATGTTTGGACGGCTCTGGCACGTCGTCTGACCCTCGAGCTGCTCGCGCGGGCTGGGGCGTGTACCTCCAGCTGGGACCGCAAGGGCGCCCTGCTCCCGAGGCCTCCGACCCCTCCCTCCCCTCCCCTCCCTGGGTGGTACGGGGGTGCTGACGGCCGTCAGACCGTCCCTGCGGCTGCGCTGGCCGCCTTGTGGTGGTGCCTGCAGCTCACGACAGGGGATAGTGTGATATATGCCGATAACCAGGGGGTCTTTGACGGGTGGCATGGGGGCCGAGTCGACGACCCCCGCGGAGCGCTCAAGAGCTGGTGGCAGAGAGCGAAAGCCGCCGCCAGGGCCCGACCAGGGGTCGTCGCCATCCGAAAAAGTGCTACCCCCACCTCGATGCCCAGTCCCATCTCCGTTGCTCTCAAGCCCCTCTCGTCTCCCGAGGGAATGAATCTGCCGACGCCTTTGCCCAGCGAGGGGCGGAGGAGGCGAGGGCAATCATCAGAAGTGAGGTCAAGGCCCTAGGCGTCGCGGACGCTACGGTCACCCTGGCCCAGCAGCGCCTGGCCGCGGCGGCCAGGGTGTACGCGGCGCAGGACCGCGACCAGTGTGCACGAACTCCCGAGGGGGGAGGGGGGGCTGCTTCTAGGCGTGCAGTCGAGCTTGAGCGTGAATCGGGCCACAACCTCGGGAGGTTGGCCAACGGGGCGCGGGTGTGTCGTCGGTGCCGCCAAGGGCCGCCTCCTGGGACGTCTCTGGTCGATTGGCTCGGGCTCGAAATTCACCGCTGCAAAGGAGACCCCACCCAGCGGCATCTGAGCGAGAGTGATAATGTTGTGCTTGCTCCCCGCCCTGTGACCACGGAGTTGGCAACGGCGAACAAGCACGTTCACCCCACCCACTGCGTGGCCATGCGCAACGGGCAGGTGTGGTGTTGGAAGTGCGCTAATTTGGGCACCGTGGTCAACGGGGTGGAGACTCTTGCTCTTGGCAGAGCCGTGCCGTGAATGGACCACCCCCTCGGGAGAGAATTATCTCAGTCGACTGCGCAAGGGACTCCCTCCTGAGGGCTACAAATGGCCCAATGAAAAGGGAGCGGGGCGCCTCCAAGCGGAGGCAGGCTCGAGCGTGAGCAAGTCATTTTTGAAAACCAAGTCTCGGAGATAGATGACTATCGAGAGCCGCCCCGCGAGGGGGGTGTAACTGTCCAGCTGTGGCCTCGCTGCTGACTGGCACCCTTCAGCATTGTCCCAGCATTCTCCTCCTCCTCCTCCCTCCTCCTCCTCCTCCTCCTCCTCCTCCTCCTCATCATCCTCCTCCGCCTCCTCCTCCTCCGCCTCCTCCTCCTCCCTCCTCCCTCCCCCCTCCCCCCTCCCCCCCCTCCTCTCCTCCTCCCCTCCTCCTCCTCCTCCTCCTCCTCCTCCTCCTCCTCTCCTCCTCCTCCTCCTCCTCCTCCCTCCCTCCTCCCTCCCTCCCTCCCTCCCTCCCTCCCTCCCCTCCCTCCCTCCCTCCCTCCCCTCCCTCCCCCTCCCTCCCTCCCTCCCCTCCCTCTCCCTCCTCCCCTCCTCCCTCCCTCCTATTCCTCCTCCTCCTCCTCCTCCTCCTCCTCTTCCCTTTCCTTTTCGTTCATTCCTTCTTCCTTCCATTAGTATTTCCTTCTTTCCTTCCTTCCTTCCGTTCGTCCGTCCGTCCGTCGTTCCTTCCTTCATCGTTTCCTTCCTTCCTTCCTTATGTCCTTCCTTCCTTTCACTGTCCCTCCCTTTTTCCTCATGTCTTCCTTTATTTCGCTATGTTTGTCTTATGTGCTTGTTTGTTTCGTTATTCCTATCTTTATTTCCTTCCTTCTGTCCTTCATTCCGTCCGTCCGTTTGTCCGTCCGTCCGTCCGTCCTTTCTTCCTTCCTTTCTTCCTGCCTGCCTGCCTTCCTCCTCCTCCTCCGCCTCCTCCTCCTCCTGCTCTTCCTCTTCCTCTTGCTCTTCCTGTTCCTCTTCCTCTTCCTCCCCCGTCCCCCGTCGGCCTTGTCATCGTCGTCCTCCTCCTCGTCCCGTCTCTCCTCCCCCCCTCTTCCTCCAGGGGGGGCGGCCTGGCGGTCGCAAATATAGCCTCTGATGCGCCGGCTGGTAAACAGCCGACGGCCGGCTGAGCTGCGTTGGAACGCGGGAGCGAAGCGCTGATGCCAGATTGGCAACTCGAGCCAAAAGCGGGCGTCAGCGAGAGAAATCTTCCTCCTCATCCACCTCTGTCTCCTCCTTCTCCTCCTCCTCTTCTTCTTGTTTTTCTCATTATCCTTCTTATCATTATAATTCTTATTCTTACTCCTATTCCAAATAGTACTATGCTTAGTATTATTATTCGAATTCTTAGGATTCTTCTTTTTAGCATTAGTAATCCCACCAGCCCTCTGGGCGCAGGTGGTCTAACGAGATTTCTCTTCCCCCTTTCAAAAAAAACTCTTCCCCTGCGGGAGGTTTACCCTTCCCCCTACCCCCTACCCTGGATTCTTTGAAGGGTTCCGCGAAGTGTCAGGGCGTCCAAAACGGCCTCGGCGAGGAGGCCAAAATCACTGGTGCTACTAAGGTTTCGGCCGCATTTTCGCCTCTTTGGGGGGGGGGGGGAGCTGAACGTTACACCATCTCATCCTTTGATCGATGGCCTTCAAAATGGCCCCAAGAGGCCTTCCAGGGCTCCCAAGAGGGCCCCAAGACACCTAAAACAGCTCCCAGAGAGCTCCAATACCCTCCCAAAAATCCCCAGGAGAGCTCCAAGAGGCGATTTCGAGGTCTCCAGGGAAGGGACCGAAATCGAAATCGAGGACCCCCCATCTTTTGATCGATGCTCTCCTAAATACACCTCACCACCACCACCGCTCTCCCCCCCATCATTGACCAGCTAGCCGGGCAGACGAGAAACTAAAACCAGGATCATACTCTTTGGATCCCTCCACCTCCTCCTCCTCTTCCTCTTCCCCTCGCCCCCACGCGGCCCCCAGGGATGGCCCGAAGAGGCCTTCCAAGGCCACCCCGTTGCTCCCAGAGATCTCTCGGTTCATCCTGGTTACTCGCTTTGTTTCCCTAGATGTGTCCTTTTGTCCTTCTTCCCGTCAGCTCTCGTGGGTAGGGCTTCTGAATGGGCTGAATGGGCTGAAGTATCGTTACTCTTCTTCTTAGTAGCATTATTACTCTTATTCGTATTGATATGATCATCATTACCAGTATTACTATAATTTAAAATTAAATCCGTACAAATATTACTCCATAGTTTAACGGTAGTCTTAGTACGATTATTTTTCGTAGTGTTCGTATGCTCAGGTGTTCTTCACTCGTAGTCGCATTCTGTTGTATTGTTACTATAAAAGAGTTTTGTAAGTGCTAGTGCTAATCGTCTTGCTTTTATTGTTATCATTCGTAATAATATTAGTATTGTTCGTAATCGTTTTTCGTCTTCGCATTATGATGGGTCGTACGATTCGTAGTGGTTTTGTTTTTCCTACGTGTCCCCTTCTTAGTAATATTTATATTGCTCGTAGTAGTGGTATGGTCCTTGCGGCTATTGATATTAGTAGGTTATGTCTCTGATTATTACTAGTAGTATAACCATTCTTCGGTGTACTGACATAATTCGCAGTCGTGGTGTGATCATTATTCGTATTAAGAGCATGTGTAGCATTAGAAATATTATTCGTATTATTATTGGTCGTATCGTTCTTATCATTCGTATGATTCGTCTGTGTGTGACTCTATGTCTTATATTGCTTCTCCTTCTCATCATCCTCCTCCTCTTCTTCCTCCTCCTCATCTCCTCCTCTTCCCCTCTTCCTCCTCCTCCTCCGCCACCCCTCCTCCTCATCCTCCTCCTCCTTCGCCTCCCCCTCATCCTCCTCCTCCTCTCCTCCTCCTCCTCCTCCTCTCTCCTCCTCCTCCTCCTCCTCCTCTCCTCCTCCTCCTCCTCCTCCTCCTCCTCCTCCTCCCCGTCCTCCTCCTCCTCTTCCTCCTTCTCCTCCTCCGCCTCCGCCTCCGCATCAGCCTCCCTCTCCGCCTCCTGCTCCTCCTCCTCCTTATCCTCCACCTTCTCTTCCTCCTCCTCCTCCTCCTCCTCCTCCTCCTCCTCCTCCTCATCTGTCCTACGTATGAACTGCTCCCCCTCCCTCCTCCTCCTCCTCCTCCTCTCCTCATCATCCTCCTCCTCCTCCTCCTCCTCCTCCTCCTCCTCCATCATCATCATCATCATCATCATCATCATCATCATCATCATCATCAGCATCAGCATCAGCATCAGCATCAGCATCATCATCATCATCATCATCATCATCATCATCATCATCATCATCAGCATCATCATCATCATCAGCATCCTCTTCATCATCATCAGCATCATCATCAGCATCAGCATCATCATCATCGTCAGCATCATCATCATCATCCCTTCCTCCGTTCATCCTTGCCTCCTTGCATCCATGTCTCCGTTCCTCCTCCCCCTCCTTCTCCTCCTCCTCCTCTTCCTCGTCCGCCTCCTCCTCCTCCTTCTCCGCCCGTCCTCCGTTCCTCCGCGCCGCCTTGCCGCCATTCCTCCGTTCTTTCTCCTCCTCGTCCTCCTCCTCATCATCCTCTTCCTCGTCCTCATCCGCAGCTTCGTCTGCTTCTTAGTGCGAGTCACATTAGTATGATTATGCGGTCTTATTCATTGCCTCGTGTTCTTAAGATTGCCCGTCGAATTAGAATTGTACTGTTGCGAGCGTTAGGAGTGTTACTAGTGGTATCAGTATTTTTAGTATAGTAATATTAGTATGCGTCGTATGTTTAGTCGTCGTGTTCTGTTTCGTCGTATTCACGTTATTCGTATTCGTATAATTGTTCGCCTTACGATCCTCAACATTACTAGTACGATTCGCTTTCCACTTATCGTGATTCCGAATGTTCTGATTCGCAGTACTTGTTGTGTTACTAGCTCTCTTATTTGTTTTCGTCTTATTAGTCGTGTATTATTATATGCGGTAGTAGGTTGATGATTCGAATTATGGATTTTCTTGGTATGCTTAGTATGGTTATCCGTCGTATTAAGATTAGTATGTTTCTTTTTCTTAGTATTATTATTAGTATCAGTATTATGTTCGTTCTCTTCTTATCGTGAGTATTACTCTTGTTCTCATTGTAAAGATTGCACGTCCATTACTCATAGTACTGTCATTAGTAATCCTCTTCCTCCTCCTCCTCCTCTTCCTCCTCCTCCTCCTCCCCCTCCTCCCCCTCCTCCTCCTCCTCGCCTCTTCCTCCTTCTCCGCCTCCTCCTCCTCCTCCTCTGTCCTCCTCTTCCTCCTCCTCCTCTTCCTCCTCTGTCCTCCTCCTCCTCCTCCTCCGCCTCCTCCTTCTCCGCCTCCTCCTCCTCTGCTTCCGCCTCCGCCTCCGCCTCCTCCTCCTTCGTTTCCTCCTCCTCCTCCTCCTCATCATCATCCGCATCCTCCACCGCCTCCGCCTCCGCCTCCTCCTACTCCTCATTATCCTCCTCCTCTTCCTCCTCCTCCTCTTCCTCCTCCTCATCCACCTCATCCTCCTCCTTCATTCCTTTTCCTTCTAAATCACTGTTCCGTGTATCTCCCCGAGGCCGATTTTTAGGGCGGGCCGGGCGTTTCGCCTGAGACTTCCCCACAAGTTATGACTCTGAAGCTGAAGTGGCAACAGTTTTACATATGGAGGGCGGGTGGTTTCAAAATGTGGTCCTCGCCTTAGCGCCGCGCGCGTTCCTTCTAAATAGTTGCAAGAGTTCCACGGATTGAGGGCGACCCCGTTTCAAAACGTGGCTCTCGCCTTAGAGCTGCGCACATTCGTTTAAACAGCTTGCAAGGGTTTCACGGATTCAGGACAACCCGTTTTCAAAATATGGTTCTCGCCCTAGCGCCGCGCACATTCGTTTTAACATTTTGCGAGAGGTTCATGGATTGTGGGCGGATCCTTTTTCGAAATGTGGCTCTCGCTATGGCGCCGCGCACACTCGTGTCTAAAATTTGCAAGATTTCCACGGGTCCCCATGATCAATATACCAGAAATTGTTTTGGAAGGATTCCGGATTTTGCGGGCCCCGCAGTTACGTTGATTCGCGGTGATAAAATCCCAGGAATGGCGTTCTGGCGCGATCCAAGATCGTCAAGACGCAACAATCAGGTTGATCCGTGGCGTTGGAATCCCGAAAACAATGTTTTGGTATGTCTCAGGGTCTTCAAACGGTTGCTTTCCAACGAGGCAGTTCCCTCAATGAAAATGAATCGTTGTAGGGGTCGATGAAGAGGGAGTTTGGGGGGAGGGTGTATTCCAACATCGTTGATGGCTTCTAGGTTTACACTGGTTTCCTCCTCCTCCTCATCCTCCTCCTCATGATCCTCCTCCGTCCTCCGTCCTCCTCCTCCTCCTCCTCCTCCTCCCACTCCTCCCACTCCTCCCACTCCTCCCCCTCCTCCTCCTCCTCTTCCTCCTCCTCCTCCTCCTCCTCCTCCTCCCCATCCATATCCATGTGCACATGCTCCTCCACATCCTCGTGCAGGTTCCACCAATTTCCTTATCGTCACAATCATTCATACAAGAACTGCCGCTCTTTTAACATGAGTGTTAGCCTTGTTGCTCTGACGAATGGTAATGGAATAACGTGTTGCCCACATGGTTGCGATCGATACGATGTGATTCGTGCTTTTCGTATGATCCGTGCTCCGTGTATGCATGCGAAAGGGTGCATCGTTCAGTCACTATAGTGTCCATATCTCGCCTGTGTAAAATAATGCCTTTGGGGGTCCACCCGAAGGCTGGGCAACGCCAATACGCATCGCTGGGGTCGCCACGAGTCTGGACCTCAACGTGCAGTCACCCCCCACATTCGGCGTCTCGTCGTCCAGTCACTCGGAGTACACGATCTCTGGGCCGCGCGACAGGACATCCGCGATCGCGGTCGGATCAACGACGCCTGGCCTTTCCACGTTCGCGAGCTCGCGGACACGCTCCTCGGAGGCCTTTTCGCTTGTCGCCTGCCCTGTCGCTCTTCATACTGTCGTAGGTGCGGCGCTGACCTGCGAACCGATGGGACCCCCCAAATCCTCCAACTCGGTCGCGGCTGCGCACGCC